TTACTTGACTCAGGAACTGAACAGCACAGACACATTGCTGTATTTCAGAGGCAGCTGCAAACTTAGCATAATACCACACAGAAGTATGAATTTTCTTATCATCAATGTGCACAAACTAAAAAGTAGGTCTAAAAGAACTACCAGCTGAAATTGCGATCTCTGGGTTCTTGTTCTCTCAGCTTCCCTGGAGAAAAGTGAAGTCATGAAGAGAAAGAACACTTCAGTGAAAGGGGAATTGTTCCCTGGCATACAAAATCTAAACTTATTGTGCACCGGTTTTGTCTGTAATGGTCACAAACACAGCCTGAAAGTCCAGATCCTGTGCTCAGGTGCCTGGTGGCAGATACCTGCACTTTACCAGTGGGGCTGTAAAAAGCTGGGCCAAATCATTCTGTTCAATCCAGTTGCACACTTAAGGCCAAGACAGGGAATAATTATGCAAATTAAGTCCCAGCTCAAATTGCTACACATGCTCAGAATTGTGCAATCTTTGGTGATAAAACTGAAAATGGGAGTACCTATACTTGCATGGCAAATATCACTGTGCAAATCTTGGAAAAGAGTGACCTTCCCTTTCCCCAACACCAATGCTGCTGTGTGCCCAGCTGCATTTATTGTGTGACTGTTACATTTAACAGCAAACCTGCAGGTGCCACTAAAATGCCTTCATGGGAGGTGTTGGCTTTGATTTTAGCGAGTTGCTTTGACTGAGTTCCATACTGCTTGTTGAGAATGAGTTGCTGGTTTTTTTCCACTGAATCTATGATAATGCTTTTCCTGTTCTGTGCCACTGTCTGCACAAACCAGGATACCTTCTGAGAGAAATGTATTTCCCTGTTTTGGAAAGCAGACACACTAGGAGGATATATTACAATATTGCCACGTTTTGGCGTGGGCTGCTCACATTCTTAACTACAGTGGCTGAAAAAGAGAGACTAGCTCTTCTACCCCTTTTTTTCTGATTCCAAGCTAAAGTTTTAACTAAACCAGCATGATAGTTGTCTTCTGTCCTCTCCGTTAACTGCCTATGATTCTTTGTGTGTCTTAGGATGTCTGTGTTGGAATAACAAAAATATAGCATGGGGGAAGAAAAGACAAACATCCTCAATAGTTTTATAGTCATCTGACCATGGAAAAGTTCTGAGCTGCAAACACAGAAAGGTAGAAATAGCCTCACTGGATCAGAACAGCAGTTAATGTAGCTCATTGTCCAGTTTTCAACAGTGTCAGTGTCTCATGCCTTTGAGACAAAAAAATGTTTGAAAGGCAATTACAAAATAACTTTAACACAACCTTACTCCCAGACACCCTGTAAAAATTTCTTTTGAAGTTATTTTGTAACTTCTACTTCTTAAAAGGAAATCGTATTTGTAGGCAAATATGCTTATGTAAATATAAGTATGTTAGGATGAAAGCTACTGTAAGTCTAACTCCAACAAATCTGCACCATACTACTAGAAAACCAGAATTTTTACATTCAATAGATATAGACCTTAATAATCTGTAAATCCACTTCCCCTTTCATAAAAGGCCAGTATATATCTGTCAGGCTCTGTAGTAGACTACTGAATGACTAATACAGGAAAATACCAATAAACTGAATAGATATATTTATTAAAAAATCTATAATCTCTCATTAAAGAGGGTGAGCTGATATTTTAAATACTCAACTGAGATTCAGGAGAGCTTATTTCAGTTCCTTGCCCCACTGTAGACCTTCTTTGTGACCATGAGCAACTCTATTAAGTTTTAGTTTCTCATTTGTAAAATTAGAAAAACAGTCTTGCTCCATAAGAGTATAGAGAAAAAACTAAATTACAGTATTCACTTACTGGTTCAGTCTGAAAGACAAAGCTGAAGGACCATGTGGTCTCTCAGGATGCCTCATGTTTCTTATGTCATTAGGTCTTCATTAAACATCTGTTGCCATCTAAAGAGAAGGCAGATGGAAGGTACACAACCTCCACATTTCAGCTTGCCTGTTATATGTAGGTGTTTGGCAATCTTTTACATTTGGTTTCCAAAAATAAAGTAGAATGGGAAAGTATTCCCATGTCCAGTTCATAGAGTTCAGATTTAACATACTCATTGGAAACTCTCTGAAGTGTCTGCAGGCTCTTTTTAGGATCCAATAGCACACACAAGCTTGGCCTGCAAAGGAATTTTGTGTTCAGTTACACCAGTTCTTGTTGGTGTGTGGGGGAAAGACTCTATTTCTAATTTCAGTCATTCTGTCTGCGTGACCATATCCTGTAGCATACTTTTATGAGAAGGAAGCATTTCAAGATTTCCACTGTATAATATACCGTGTAACTGGGAAGACAGTATATTGTGTAAATCTTGTTTAGATATATGTCCAACATTTAATGAAGTCTGTGGGAGTTGCACTGTTCTCTCAGAATGGCCCTTCTGTCAAAAGCCATTTCAGTGGGGAATAAAAAAGCTGCAGACAAAAAAACAAACAAACCAACCCCCTCCCCCCAAAAAAAACCAACAAAAAAAAATTCATTTTAAATCTCTTCCAGATAGCTCAAAACTACTGTCAGTTACTGGAGCAGCCTGTGTAGCCACAGAGATATAAACTGCTCATAATATTCTGAGCCAGATTTTTTCATGTGGTGAAGGTATTGACTTTACTGAGCCTGCCCCACGGATGTATTGGACTCAAAAGTAAAATTATTTCTGCATTTAGTTAGAGAAAATGTTTGATTGTAAAGGCCGTAAATCCAATAGCCTGTTCCTCAAAATGCAAGTATTGCAAATAAGAGGCACAATGGATTTTGAGCCTTTCTTATTGTTAACCAAATGGGCATTACTCCTGTTGACTGGGAAGAGAAATAGTTCCTGGAAGCCACACCATGAAGAAGTATTGTGTGCCTTTGAACTCATCTTTCCCTCTACTCTCTGCTTTTTCCTTTGCTTTATTCAGTGGAAGTAATTTTACTATACTTCTCTCTGTTTTTCACCTTCCCAACTCCCCTGCCATCGTCACTCAACGTCATCCTATTTTATACACTCAGGGAAAAAACTTTTATGAAATGCTGACCTCAAAATCAAGTGACTTTTTTTGCTCTTCTTTGGTGTAGCCACAACTAATGGGGTAGAAAAGTTTGGATCAGATTAATAATAACAATAGAGGCTTAACACTGCTTCAGCCTGACCCCAGCTGCCTACCTTTTGGTCTTGGCTGTGATCCCTTGTAGAATACTTGGGAATAAGCAATGTTTTATTCCTTTCAGGCTGTGACTGTGTTTTTTAACGTCCTCGCATGACTGTGGCTCTTGGTGTACTAACACTTCCCACACACACACACAACAATCTCTAATCCATCCTCCTCTACCTTGTTTCATCCTGGCTTTGCTCTACCTGACATTGCAATGAACTCACAACTTGGTTCCCATAAAGGCAGTGTTTGGTTTCTCATTGCTTCGGAGTGGTGAGCTGGTTGATCTCATCAGGGCATTTGTTTTTAAGACAGGCTCTTCCAGACCAACCCCAGTAACACTGGGAGTCAGGTGGCAGCGGCTGAGGGGCGTTAAAGATCCACTTCTAGGTTTGAAAATCTGACTTCATATATTTTAGGAGTTACATGTTAGTTGGAGGTTTTAAAAATTTGTAGAGGACACCTATGCCCAAACCTTTGCTGATCTAAACTGGATTGGTTTTTATAACTTTGTTAAAACTGAGCTAAGGAGAAGCCATTTCATATATGACTATACATACGTATGTATCTGTAAGTACATAAACACAGAGACACATATAAAATACTGCTAATAATGGGGAAAATGTTAAGAATAGCCTTCCAAATGTAATGTAAGTTAATGATTGGTGCCCAACAAATCCACATAAATACATGTATTCCTTTTTTTTTTTTCCAAAGGACACTGCAGAAAGAAGGTGCAGTTGGATAAATGAGGACATTTGCTTTGTGTTTTGTAATTTAAGATCCCAGTTAAGAAAAGTGTTCTCATTTGGCATATTTTAGCTTTAAACCCATCAATTTCAGCACAATTCCTTAAATAAGAAGGGACACAACCACCCACTAAATTGCTAAATATTGAGACTATCTCAATTACTTAACTAACTGGATTTCAAACTTAGGAGTTTAAAGCTAATGGATTCTATTCTTAATGAAATGTCTTAACTTCTTACAGATACACAGTTGCTTGCACTTAAACTGATCAGTTATTTTTGTAAGCATGTGTGTGTGTTTACAGAATAATAGCCCAGTCCTCTATCAGAGAAATCAAGGCTGATTTACTCCTCACCTCAGGAAGGAATGATTTCTAATTGAGGGAATTCAGTGAAGAAATTGTTTCTGATCTGATTTACATTGAGAAAACGAGTACTTGGATAGGACAGAGAGTTTTTAAGTGATACCAGGCACAAGAAATCCTTCTTGTAAGAATCTTTGTTACCCATTTTTATCGCTTCAAAATACCAGATCCTTGAGGATTGCCCAAGTCTGATTAGTTTCACTGCTTGGATTTGGCATCAAAATATGTTCTGCTGGAATACTATTGAATTTTTTTTTTAAGGAGAACTTATTAAAATCAAGACTATTCCTGAAATTAAAAGCAGGCATACAACATCTAATTTGTAACTGTTAATTTTCCTTTTACTTTATTATTGAAACAAAGTTGTTTGCAACTGATAAGAAGCATATAATTATAAGAAGCAATATGCAGTAGACTTGTATATTTGGTGTGTTTCACCTGGAAAGCTGAAGAGATTTCTCGCAACTATATTTATGAGCAACCACTCTAGGATGCTTTTTGCAACCAAACATTTCTGCTCAACCCGTTTTCTTTCTCCTTGGTTGGTTTTGGGTGGGTTTTCTTGCCACCACTGGCAATTGCATTTACTTCATTCACACTGTATCCCTCCTTTCACAGAGACAAGGAAAATGTTGCAGCAGCATCAGAAAACAGGTAATGTTTGCTGTGTTTGACTTACTTCCTATTAAGAGTTTATCTCCACTTTCCCCATATTGTTCTTACCTCAAAAACATGAAATTTGTACGCTGTTTGAGCAGGTGATGACTGTGGAGGCTTCAACTAAGTGGGTTTATTAGACATTTCTTTCTAATGCAGACTTCAAGAAGCACTGTGACATGGGACAGGTGGGGATCATCTTTCTCAGAAATTACAAACCTGAAAAATAACAAGTTTTTAGCAAATATTCTTGAAATGGAGTATTATCAATTTGTGGTGGAGTTTTAAGAACAATTTCCATTTTAAACTTTGCCTAGATCATTCAAGGTATTTTTTAAATCTAAGTAAGATTATCTTTTTGGTATTTTAAGAACTCTTACATGTCGGATTCTTGCATATATTGATTGTCCTCAGTGGGTTATGAGGTTCAAGACAATCTCTCTGTAAGTAAGTTTTTCATGTCAAATTGTTTTCTCCCAAAGGATTTCAGCACATTTCGCAGTTACAGATAAAAATGTGCTGCTTTCTATTAGTTCATGTGCTAAACCACACAAGTACTGATACAAGTATTTCTTGAGTGAATCTGACCAATAGTTTCACAGAGCAAAGAAATGCTTCTTATTAGTTTGTCATGAAACAAATTCTACCTCTCTGCTTTCCTCTATCTTGTTGATTCCTGCCTCAGATGTGCAACCACTTTGTATTTTTTTTTCCTTTATAAGACTGCTCACGTTTTAACAAAGGTTGCATGGAGTTAAAATCTGAGTGCAAGTGTAATTTGTTACTAGTGACACAAGCAATGGCAACTGGCCTTGAAACAGTAGGGAAAATTGATTTTTATTTTTAAATTAATTATGAAAATAGAAGAAAATAAACGCCTTGGTTCCTGTATATAAATTAAAGTGTATAAAACAAGGAATACGTTAGCATTTTGCCAACAGTTTCATTTGTTTAAAACCACCTACAGGACTGTGCAGCTGCTCCACTGAAATCTCCTTTTCTTTTAATTATGATTTTATTTAACCAGGAACAATTTCTGATATATGACTGGTGTTAGTGTCATACTACTTTGCTTTAATCTTGTGTGACTTGTCATACCATAGCTTTTCTCCACCTCCATTATCATCACAGCCTTGCTTCGTGTCTTATTTTGATATTCATAGCAATATGGTTTCCAGATTTAACACAAGGTACCTTTTTAATTCTTCAAGCCTTTCCTGGTCTTAAGCAGTAATAAACTAATGAACTGTCAAGATTTGTCATTACTTCACCTGCGATACCATGATGATCTCCAGCTTCTTCTGTGGCTGGAATTCTGTCTCTTCCTCAAATACCTGCTATTCCCTAGGAAATGCCTCATTTTCAACCCCCCTTGTAATCTTTGTCACCCAGGCCTGCAGACACTGCGCATGCGCCACAGTATGTGACCTCCAGTATTTGGCATCCTCCTAAACCCTCCACCAGGGATGCCAACACTGACAATGCCAAGCCAGTGGCCTCCAAGGGCTCTGTGAGGCTTGGAGCGGGTACAAGTCAGAGGGAGGCCACTGCTGGCCAGAAAGTCCCTCTTGCTTCATCCAGTAACCAAAGGTACACTGTGATGTGTAACTGCATAACTGACCTGGTTTGGAGCTTTGGAGTGGTTTGGTAATAACAGCCTCTAACTCCTGGAGTTCAGCTGGAAATGCCCATTGCCTAAAAGGAAGGTGTTCAAGTTCTACAAATTCCAGAAACTTCCAGTTCATGTGGGTGTTACGTTTCCAGTGGCTCTCTTAAGGATCACGCATAAAATACAGAGACAACAGCCATAAAGCACCTTCAGCAGAGAAACAGCAGCTGATAGTTCTCTATTTTGACTGTATTTCTACAACCATTCCCATACTCGAATGTAAGACTCTTCCATGTTATGGCTTTCTCTAACCATATTCTCAGGCACTTTTTTCTACAAATGTTACAATAAGAGATATTTTTTTCCCTATCCATTTTAATTTTTATTTCCTGTATATTCAATTTTTTACATGTGATATGTTGGAGGATTAGAAACCAAAGAAACCTTCATGCATTACATAAAGGAGACTAAGTACTGCTTTAATAATCCACTTGATTGTTATTTGGACAGAAAGTCTCAGAACTTAGGACTTTACTGAGAGAAAGAAGTATAATCTGCACTTATTTTTTCTAAATCTTAAAGTGCATTTGTTGCTGTGTTTTCTCATTATGGTTGTTAACCATTATTATCCTCTTAACCTCTACTGATCTGTGTTCCTTTTCATGAGTGAAAATCAGCTGAGAAGAGATGTGTGTTTGTTTTCATCCACCTAACTTACTTTTATGTCTGTTACCACAAATATGAAGATGTTTGATTTTTTTCGATTTTCTTTGATTTTCCTTAAAATACAAAGTACTGTAAAGATCTAAAATCTACAGAATGACTGCATTTAAAAACCAACCAACCAACCAAAAGCTCATCTGTAACATGTAATAATGAAGCTGTTGCAATATATTATTTATTTTATAAAGCAGCACTCACATTTATCAGTTCTTAAAATTCTGCTGCACTTGACGAACTAAAAAGATCAGACTGAAAATCTAGAAAGTAGGCAATCTTGAGGAAAAAAAAAAGGTTGTTTTATTTGACTATCTAAATATTTATTTAAAATTTATAGTTGTTAAATTAAAACCAGTCAATTTAGTCTTCAGATCTATCTAAAAGCTGAGTTGAGAGTGTTACCAACTGCATATCATTTATGGAACAAAATCACCCTGATTTTTAAGGTTATATCTACTTCATTTATATTTATTCCAATTCCTTGGTGTGTTAATTAATATATTCTACCATGAAGGAAGGCAATCAAGCCCCTAACATTTTAACCATATAAAAAGAAATATTGCAAACACCATGCAAGATAAAATCTGTTCGTATTTTCTTTAAACTATAAAAGGTACTTCAGTATATTTGCATTTATTTTATTTACATGGGTTGTTCCATTCAAATCTGTCTCCACACAGGTCCTTGTCCTCACATACAGGTTTTTGGGATTTTTTACTTTCTTTTCAATATGTATCACTGAATATGTATTTTGATTAACGTTTTGGAGAGTGTTACAATTAAGTTCGTTCACTGTTTTCTTCTCTTCAAAGTAGGAAGTCACGAATCTTTTGAAATCTGTAGCAAATTCCCTTTGACATCAGTGCAAATAGACAAAATAGGTGGAATCCTAGTTTGTGTTTGTTTTTAAGACATATATGAAGTTCCATTTTTATGTTCAGCATAGTTTCACTCCTTTCCTGTTTGCCAGATCAAAGACGTGTAAGTACTAAATTGTGACTCCACACCTTTTAATGTGATAATTCCAGCACCCACTGTGGCACAGGGGGAAAAAAATCCTGTAGGTATTGAAACTCAGTAACAGACTCTCCTGTGACCCATAGTTGTGATGGATCATATTCAGCTACTCTGCTGCACAGGCTTTGTAATTGATAGTCTATTTGTTAATTGGAAGAATTTGCATCATAAAATGCATCAAGATGGAAAAACTGATCTGAATTTCGACTGCATATTACAATGGGCAAACTTTTGCAAAACCGTTGCAAAACTTGGTGTCCTGATTTGAAACCCAGAATTGCAAACTGGGTATTTTTGGGATCTCATCTCTTACATAATTGCAGATGAAATTCATAAGGGAGAAAATACTGATTTTCTGCTTTTGTTGTGGGTTACATTCTACTTTGAAATGTATGGGTGTAACAACCACGCTTCTGTTGCAGCTAATCAAACAGAAAATAATTAAGACACCATCATTAGACTACTGAGCTGCACAAGAAGAGGAGAAGAACAGGGGAAATGGGACAGTCCCTTTAAGAACAAGGGGTATCACAAATTCTGAGGTACCAAGCACTCACTCTAGGTCCTCAGGAGTGTAACTTGCCAAGTCAGCGCTTTTGAGAGAAGCAAAAAGAAAATATGAGGTAGAATGGCTGAAACAAAGAAAATTTGCACAATGGATGGTAAATCTGCTAAGGAAAAAGTGCTGAAAGAATGCTTGAGGGCTAAGGTTGGCTGAGAAACAGTAGTGGAACTGTAAGCTTTCTTTTGTTATTTGATACTTACTGTGCTTAGGAACAAGTATTTGGGGCATTTTGTACCTTGTGCAAGAGAAGCACAGAATTCCATCACCCTGATAGGAGTGATTTGTAAGAATGCAGAGATGTGGCAATATGCTTCTGAGTTAGGTCTAAAGAAGTATAAATATATCCATAATTTTCTTAGGCTGCTGCTCATGGACAACTATGTACAGTAATGCTCTGATTTAAGAAAAAAAAAAGTATGTATTTGGATAACTACTAAAGAAAATGAATCTACAGCATCAAGAAAAACATCCCTTATGCCTAGGGGACATATGCTTATATTGTCATCAAAGTTTCTGCCCCAAAATAGTGTTGCAATTTGTTATTTTTCAGTGGCTTATTTGTTCTGTGGATAATAATAAGATCCACACTAAAATCTGCCTAAACACAAAATAATGAAGTTTTTCTCTTTTCTTCTTTCTCCTTTTTAAATTTTAAATTGCTTTAAATTATTTTTATTAGGTTTATTGACAAGAAAATTATGAATGGACATATTATTAATATTATTATTCTGTTGATATTAAGTTCAGTGAAACAGTCATCAAATAACTTGAATGTTTTCAGTGATTTTATTTGGGGTTTTTTTCAATTCATGTAAGAGCTAATGGAAGACAATAAACTGAAACTCCCAAAAGACTGGTTCTTTTCTTAGCAGTGGATGACTTTGACTAAACTATGTTGCAAAGCTGCATGATAACTTGGCCCCATTTGTCTGTCTGTAAGAGATGAGTAATTCAGGCTGAAGTATGTTCATAAGCACTGGGTAATGAAAGACACTGGTAGTTCAGTAGGTTATTAAAATGGCCACGGGATACCAGACTAGATTATTATTATTCATTTCAACTCATTTATTTGCAATCAAATAAAGAAAAAATGAAGAAAATTAATATTCCTTTGCTCCAAGTAATCTGTGCCGCAATAGTTCAAGAGGGCCACAAGGATAAGAACTCATGCTCATCACCCAAGTGATTTTAAAACTAGCATAGTAAAATTTTATGCTACATCATCCCCTTGTATTTTATATATAGTTCTGTGTTTGAAGGGGCATCTCATTGTTATTTGGATTGGGCAGTGTAATGTAAGGTGAATTC